TCCTCCTTTTCCTCCTTCTCCTCCTCCTACTGCTCCTCCTCCTTCGTGGGCCCGAGCTTTGTTCGGGCGGGGGGGGGGTCTCCTCGAAGTCCTGGTCAGCAAGCGCCCCAGGAGTAGTCTCGGGAGTCGCGGTGTCGTTATTTGTCTGTCTCCCCTGGAGTGCACTTGTGGCCCTTCGGGCGGACTCTCGTCGACACGGCTGGATTCAACTCGGACTAATCCATGGAACCTCTCGAGCGGGATAAGCATTTGGGTGGGCAAGGGAAGGGGAGAGGGTGAGGAGGGAAGGAGGGGCACTTCATCGCCTCTGTGAACACGCTATCATTACGGCGAGGACATGCGCAGCCAGGAGCATCAGGACATGCTCGGCCAGGGTGCCCTGGGTTTATTGGGTTTCGGTGGTTTTGACGATGGAAAGCGTGACCTTTCCATACCCAAATTCAGAGGACGTCCTGGGGTCTCAGGGTTGGGGTTCTTGTGGAAGGTATCCTGTGGACTGGCCTCCACCGTCCTTCTAAAGGAGTGACGGGTTAGCGGGCTGAGATTCGAGGACGTGGCGGCAAGGAATGATGTCAGGGCGGTGAGTCCATGCTTCTGCCTGCCGCCTTTTCCTCTTGTGATGGAGCAGGCGACGGCTCATGAGGAGCGTGTCCTTGTGAAGATTGAAATGTTCGGCCGTATCGCGCAACGTTAGCATATGAGTTTGTCTGATGAGTCACCCTTGGCGAGAAACCTTACGTGCACAATTGTTGTGGCAAAGTTGCCAGCAATTCACCGTAGCTCTGCTGGGTCATCAACGATGGCATCCGGCTATGTTTTGACCACACTTCTTCCACATCGCGATGCTTCGAAGCTGATACGCGAGTAGTTCGTGCAGTCCGAGTGATATTGGACGAATGATTGGCGAACGCATGTATGAACACATCCCTGATGCCCTGAAGAGGTCCTCTGAATCATGCAGGAATGGGATACCCGTCCCATCGTCTGCTCGGAATGGTGCGATCGCTTCTTGCACCAGTGGGCGATGTGTCTCGAATGAGCCAAGTGTCCCTCCGCTGCAAGCTCAGCTGTGGCGACGTGGCTCAAGCGCTCCAGGAACGACCTCAAACTGAAGAAACGACCGTTTCTCGGCGATGGATTTCCTCTACGAAGTCGGCCCGATCCGCTCAGCCGCTGACTTTGCGCCCTGAAGGGAGAGTTCCGCCGCACCCCTCGGATCACGCTTTGTCCGATCTCCTGGGTCTGCCTGGTCTTCGAGAGGGGTCGCTTGCTGGAGCCAGGATGCCTCAGACTCTCTTCCCCCCCTCTCCTCGTGATCCTCGTGGTTTTCGTGGTCATGTCGGCCCAAGGTCTTGCCTTCTGGATTCCGTGATCCTATCATCCGGAAGGCAGCCAAGGCGTCGGCACGATGGCTCCGCGCAAGAACAATGTGAATCCAGAGCTTGACGACGTCCTGGCGCGTCCAGAGAATCAGAAGTGCGCAGATTGTGGCGCGAAGGGGCCCACGTGGGCTTCTGTGAATTTGGGCTTGTTCGTGTGCCTCGACTGCAGCGGGGCCCACCGCAACCTCGGTGTGCACATCACCTACGTCAAGTCCGCGACGTTGGACAAGTGGCAGCCGAAGTGGTTGGCAACCTGCTCCAAGCTGGGGAACAGGATCAACAGCTCCTTCTACGAGGCGAGCATGCCTGAGGAGAGGAGACCACGCTTCGGCGACCTCAGGGCCATCGAGCACTTCGTGAGGGCCAAGTATGAGCGCCGGGAGTTCGCGCCCAAGGGACAGCTGGCTCCGCACGAGCTCATGGCGCAGGGCCGCAGCTACGACGTCTACGGCGACGGCGCCCCAGACCCCCAACGTCATGATTTTTTCAGAGCGTCGACCCCGAGAGGTCTCGACCCATTCCCCAGGACCGGTTTCTCATCCCGAGTCTTTCTGTGGACGGTCCCAAGGCCTGGCGAGGGCCCCCAGATGCCGAAAGTCTCGAAAAACCTCCCGTCCTGATTCTTCACTGCTCGCGGGGGTCTGCGGCCCCTGCCGCAGGGCAGCCCCCCGGGCAGGGCGCGGGCCCGCAGCGGTGCGCACCGCCCGCGGCGGCAGCGCAGCCCGCGCCGACCCCGAGGCCGCCGGTGCCGAGGCCGCCCGCCGTCAAGTGCGTGGACGGAGGAGGAGGAGGAGGAGGAGGAGGAGGAGGAGGAGGAGGAGGAGGAGGAGGAGGCCGCCGGCGCAGAGGCCGCCCGCCGTCCAGTGCGTGGACCTCCTGAGCATGGACGAGCCCGCCGCGCCCGCGCCGGAGGCCTCCGCCTTCAGCTCGGGCGGGTGGTGATGGGGGGGGACCTTACCCAGACCCCCTCGCGTTGCGAAAAAATCAGGACTGGCGGTTTTTCACTATTTACGGCCTCTGGGGGCCTCGTTGGGCCTCGGGACCGTCCAGAAACGACTCAGGGTGAAAAACCGGTCCGGGGGAAGGGGTCCAGACCTCTGGGGGTCGACGGTGTGAACAAAATCACGACGTCGGGGGTCAGGATAGTCCTGGGGATGGGGTCCAGACCTTCTAGCGTCGTGAAACAAAATCAGGACGGGAGGTTTTTGCCTGGGCCCTCGCCGGGCCTCGGGGCCGGCAAAAAACGGCTCACGATGAGATTCTGGTCCTGGGGAATGGGTCGAGACTTCTGGGGTCCAGGCATGATCGCGTCGTAAAACAAATCAGGACGGGAGGTTTGTGTCTGATTTCGACCCCATGGAGGCCTCGGAACCGTCAAAAATACAGCTCAGGAGGAAAAGCCGGTCCCGGGGAAGGGGTCGTGACTTCAAGGGGCACCGTATTGAAAGAATCAGGACGTCGCATGTCCGGGGTGGTGGTGATCTTCATGAGGGGTGAAGACAAACATGCCCCTAAAGGGGCCCGTGGGGCTTCGTAAGGACCCCTATAGGCTCGAAAAGGCGCCCCAAAGGGCCAATCTAGGGCTCTTTTTGCTCGTAAAGGTCAACCCCTGGGCCCATTACTACTCGCCCGATCAGCTTCCTGCAGGGCGGCCACCAGGCGACCGCCCAGCCGCCGCCGGCAGACCTGGCCTCGCAGCTCGGGGCGCTGCAGCTGGGCGCCGCTGCGACCTCCGCAGCGCAGCCCAGCGCCTTCCCGTTCACCAGCGAGGCGGGTGTGGCGGCCCTGTCGGCCCCGGCAGCCACTCCGCCTGCGGCGGCAGCCACACAGGTGTCGAAGAAGAACAAGGCCATAAACATACATTTTCGGCCCTCCGCGCGGGTTTCTTGGATCTGCGCCGGGCCCCCCCGACGGCAGCGCAGATCCAAGAAATCCACGCAGAGCGCCAACAGTTTATGTTTATGACGTTTTTTCTTATTCCAAGGTGGCCCCGCTGCCCCAGCAGGCTCAGCCCGCTCAGCTCGCCGCGTCGCTCGACCTCTCGGCGCTCTACCAGCAGCAGGCAGCCCTGCCCCAGCAGCAGGCCCAGAACCACTTCGCCGCACTGACGTCGCCCCCGCCCCCGCCCGTGCACATGGCCGCTGGGCCTTGCTACACAGCCATGGGTGGCATGGGCGGAGTCTGCCCAGCAATGGGCTCCACCATGGGTGCCGCCATGGGCTCCACAGCGGGGGGCGCCATGGGCTTCATGATGGGTGCTGGCATGGGCGCCGACATGCAGAGTGGCATGGTGGCTGGTGCAAGCAATGGCTGCGGCACGTCTGGCGGTGTGCCCGCGGGCATGCATGCCACTGCCATGGGGCCTTGCATGGGTGCCGGCATGCGGAGCACGCAGGGCTGCGCTGGTGTGGGCATGCATGCTGGCACAGGAGCGGGGCCGCAGACCGGGATGCTAGGCGGAATGGCGCCGCAGTTCGGTGGGCTGATGCAGGCGAGCGCCACGCATGGAGCGCCAGCTGCTGTCCCGTCCGTCGCCGGCTTGCCGCTAGGCTTCGCGAGCGCCTCTAGCGCGTCGTCCGCCCGCTCGCCCGGCGCCGACGCCTTCAGCTTTCTCGGCGGCCTGGGTGGCGTCTCCGGCGGCCTCCACGCAGGGGCGCTTCAGCGCACGGCCCCGCCAACCCCGCCTTCCCAGCACGCCAGCGCACCCACGGACTCGTTCGGGACCATCGACGCCTTCTCCGCATTCGGCGCGCAGAAAAGTGCGGGCATCTGGCTTCCCTTCCTTACGATATAAAGTTTCATGAGGTTGAATTTAGCACTGGCTCTGGTGTATCCAATATCTGTATCTGTCACACTAACTCTCGCTAAATCATGCTCAGTGCTGGGCTTAATCTGGGCAGCTCTGGCTCAATGGCCCTTTCATCGGGTCTTAACCCTTTATCGTTCTTTCGACGACCACCCAGTCTCCCAGGAGTTGCCTCCTAACCTCCCAGCGTTTGTACCACCTCTGGCTGGTTGTTTGGGCAACCAGCCCGTTGTGCACACACGCACACGCACAAACACATACACACAGCTGGGAACCTTCAAGGGCTTCCAGTGACCTCCGCAAGAGCTTCCACATGGCTCTCCGACGACGGTGACGGGCGGCGCAGCGGCGCCGTATTTTGTACATCCCTGGGCCGATCGCCATGGCCCCAGAACATCTGGCGGCTGGAGAGAATCGTGGAGGAGGAGGAGGGCCAGGCCATGCTCAAGCCCTGATCCTCCAGTCTCAGGCCGCGAGCCTCCGCTCCGCTCCGCGGGGCGGCGGGCTCGGAGAGGCTCGAGACGCTGACGCCGGGGGGCCGCGCCAGAGACAGCGTGTCGCGCCGAAGCGAGGCGGGTCAGACACAACGGAGCGACACGCTAACCCAAAGACCCTGACCGCGGCATCGCGTGCCAACGCCAACGTGCCCCCTCAGATCTCCGACGAGATGTGTTTGTTCAGCGGTCGTTTTTTTCCCGGATTCCGGCTTCCGCGGGGGCAGATGTTGGGCCCCGGGCATTTAAAAAACGCACCAGGGGCGAAACACGTCCGGACCTCTGGGGCCAGAGATTGAACAAAGCGTATCGGCGGATGCCAGGGTTTGTCCACCGAAACGCTCCGGTGCGACGCCGGCAAGGTTATGATGGCTGACGCACAGGCCTTCAACAGATTCGGGACATCAAAACGGAGGTTTCTCTTTGCATCCAGAGACCCTCGCCGGGCCTCAGGAAGAGAAGCCAGTTTGAGCAGGGACCGACGGTCCTGGCATTCCTATTGGACCACGAAAAGTTTTCAGAATCCCAAAAATTTTCGAATAACAAAAACAATACTCTTAGAACGCAACCCCGATGTGTAAAAACAATACCGTCTCAACCAATCATGTAGAAACACATTTCGTGCAGACCACAACCGGCTCTTACATCATGGTTTTTGTCGGCCCATAGGGAAGCCAAGACGCTTCGCCACTGCTCGACGGGTCCCAGGGAATGCGTCGAAAACTCCGCGGGTCCACGTCACAACAAAATCACCATATCGGGGGCTCTTGGGGCGTGCGCTCGCCCACCGGAGCGCTCCAGTGCGGCGCCTGCAGGGGCGTGAGGGCTGCCATCGGAGGAACCGAGTGGGGTGAACACGTCCAGAGGATCGCTGGCGGGGATCGCTGGCGGACGCACCTCCGGGCACAGCGTGCTTCCGGGGCCGCCGCCACGACGCGCGAAGCAACAGCACCGTAGGCCCGCGCAGCACGCGCCCCTGAGGCCCGACGACGCCAAAAAACAAATTAGAATCTACAAAATCACGGCCGGCGCCCCGGACCCCGTCTTTCCGCTGGGGCGGGCCCACAGGGGCCACCCCGGCATTGGCTTGCGCGCCTGGACCTGGCATCCCCCCCCGAGGCACCCCAAAGCCGCGCACCGAAGGTCACTCTGCTCGCTCCTGCGCGCAGCCGACACAAAAATACGTGACGCCCCAGGATCTCATCCGCCGCGACGCGCGAAGCCAGAGCTCCCGCCCGCGAGCTCCTCGCCCAGCGCCCGCGCCGCAGGCACTGGAGGCGGTTCGCGGCGCGGCCGCGGCGGAGGCGGCCGCAGCCGCGGCCGCCGCGGAGCAGCGCATCCGGGAGGACGGCCCGCCGACGCCCACCCTCGACAGGACGCAAGAGTGGTCTTTCGCCGGAGTGGCCTTTGGTCCCAGACCCCCCGAGCAATGGAAAAAACATGACGGGAGTTGTTTCCCCATTTTCGGCGTTTGGGGGCCCTCGCCCAGCCTCGGGGCCGTCAACAAACATTCAGGGTGAAAAACCGGTCCTGGGGAAGGGGTTCAGGCCTTTGGGGGTCGACGTTGTGAAACAATCACGACGTCGGGGGTCTTGGGTGCGGACCCAAAGGGGCCCCCAGAGCGCTGGGTGCGAAGCGGCAGCAGATCCTTGCGCGTCCAGGTTTTGCCACCCCGCGTCCCCCGTGGAGCCGCGCACCAACGGTCACTCTTGCCTATAGGGTCACTCTTGAGCGTAGCCGACTCAGGCAGCCCAGACCAGGATCGAGTCGCGCAGAGTTCACGACGTTTTGTTTTGTCTCTATTGTTTTCCGTTTCTGGGGGCCCTCATTGGCGTCGGGGCCGTCAAACAAGGATTCGGGATGGGAATCGGTGGAGACCTTTGGGGGTTGACGTTGTGAAAAGTCATGACGTCGGGTTTTGCTTGAGATCCTAGGTTTCTCATTTTCTCGGGCCGTGTGATTTCGTTCGGCGTGGGGCCCCAGGACCATCACAGATCGACCTGCAATGCATTGCCCCAGCCGTATGCCGTCCGGCGCGCAGGCGGGAAAAGTTGGACTCCAAGCGTTCACAGCCAATGCGCCTGCTAAACAGGGCAATCGGAAGGGGAGGAGGAGAAGGAGGAGGAGGAGGAGGAGGAAGAAGGGAAACAGCAAGCAAACAACACATGCATAGCATTCACAGTACGGTGCCCTCCTGCCAGGGCGCTCGGGCCGAGCCAAAAACAAATGGGTTCGCCTCTTACTCTTCGTCTAGAGCTTCTCTCAGGCTCCGAGTAACACTCTGGACGAAAGTTTCCCATTCCTGAGGGTGCCGTACGTGTTCCATGATAGTTGCTTCTGTGGTGAGGCATGCCGATAGGATCTTGCACAAGCGCGTGGTCCATTCGTGATTTCTTCTCCCCATCATCCGCTTGAGCAGGGACGTGGCGGAGAGGACGCTGCCATTTTGGAATGTGAGCGTTCGGATGAACTCGTCATTGGAAGTTCTTCCAATTTTCATCTCCCAAATCAAAGAAGTTGATGCCTCAGCAAGTTTCTTGTGTAAGGAAATTGACCCCACCTGCCGAGCATTGTCTTGTTGGAAGTGCTAGAAACGAATGCCGCTGGAGCATTCAATATTATACGGAGACGCTGGACTCGTAAATCATTAAATTGCCTGCGCTTCCCTTGATTCAGCCAAGTCTTGCTGAGGGAGTACATGACCTTGGACGCGATGACTGGAACACTTCCGTTATCCGTTTTGCATGAGTGGATGTACGCCTCCATGCTAGGGAATATGTGCAACACTCCTTCCAGGCGGCTCCCAATCTTCTGTTAATCTCGCTGTTGGCGCTGCCTGTCGTGTACAGTGTTGACCCAGGGGGTCCAAAGTATCTTCCGCTGGGATCAAGTTGCCCTTCTGAGTTTCCAACTTAATTTCGTTATCAATCTGCATCCCAGCGAGATCTCCAGCTAAGAATTGCTTCGAATAACTATTGTATGTGTTTTGCGCGCGCCCATGAGGCAACATGTCGCCTGCATGCGATGATGCCGGTGTAGACCCCACGTTCATTTCTGTTGTTGCTGTCTGCGCCAGTTTGTTCATTGCACCGTTCACCACTGTCATCACCAGAATGAACAAGAAAGGTGATAGAGGACATCCTCGTGAAACCCTGGCTCTTTGTCGCCGCCGTCGGGATGGTGGAAGATCGTGAGCTACGTGGAAGGGGTGGTCGGTACAGATGTTACACAGATGGTGGGACGGCTACCTCACTTATACTACATCTACGTGTACTTCCACCAGTTCTACTACTCGTGTGTCTATTGCTGTTGAGCTTCACGATTGTGCAATATACGTTTGTATCCCAGCAGCAAGTCTCTTGCCTTGAACCCTCGAAGATCATGCGCGTTTTGAGCAGTCCACTGCACAGTCTGACGTACAACTCTCATTGATGTGGAATGCTGTTCTCTTCTTGTGACACCGGCCTCGCGAGCAGCAACCACAGCAGAAGCAACCAATCGGGCCGAACGAAAGGGGAGGGTTGGGAAAGGGGATTTACGAAATCTGCTGCATGCAGCTGGTTCCGGCCCCACCGAGGGACCCATTCCTCGATACATAGCCGCCTCCGGCGCCGGGAGGCGCCAGGAAAATCAGCTACGTGAGCTAATTCTCAAACCCTTCCTTTGCTATCCCCCCCTTTCGCCCGGCCCGAAGCAAGTCCGTAGGCTTGACTCTGTCCCTGATGTTCGCCTCCAGCTTCGGTGGTGTCCAGGGCGGTGTCGGCAAGGTCCCCCATGGTGGTGGTATCCGTATGCCTGGTTGTTGTCAGTAGTCGCCAGCTCCACTGCGTACAACGTCTTCATCGCCACATCGTGGTTGACGAAGGTCGGGCGGCACAAAAGAAACAGGGATTTTCCTGATCCCCAGAGGCGTCATCGAGCAACATTTTATATTGGTGCTTCGTGGTGCTAGTCTACACTTGCAGAGGAGGGCGGCGCGGGTTGCTGCTGTCGAGAAGTGCCTCGCCATGCGCTCGAGCGTCGCCGTCTGTGGGTTCTCTTGAGGGGTTGCAAGAGGTAGACCAGTCGCAATCGTGAAATCAAGCGCCAGCCCAGCCTATGAAACTGAGAGTGGCGCCTTCGAATCGAAGTGTCATCTGCAGTCCATCTCAATTGTGAAAAAAAACACTAGATGAGAGCTGGGAAAAAGGGCCTGCTGGTAAATAATTTGTTTCGTATTCAGCTGCTCAGGTACGAGTAGTTGGAAATTCCACTCAGCAGCATTCGGATCCACAGGGCCCCACACGAAACCAGGAACAGCCATCTTTGGACTCCATGCGCGCGGGTTGTCGGCGATAGGATCGAACGCAGGCCCTGGGGATGACGAAGCTGTCATGCTCGGTGCAGGTCACGCTGATGCCGTAGCCGATGGTGAAGTTGCACGCGCTGCCGATGTACATGGTGGTGGTGCCGATGTGCTTTGTATACGTGGTGCTTGCTGGTAAGGTGTTGTCTCTGGTGCGTGTTGGTCTGGTTGCTGCTGTTGGGTTACGTCCTGCTGGTCACTATTTTGGTCCATGTCCAAGCGGGCACAGTGGTCGTACTCCTCGTCCTCGTCGTGCAGGTCGCAGTTCAGTTCCTCCAAGTCCACCTTCATCAGCGCCTGGGCCTGAGTGCAGCGCCCGTCGCGCTTGTCCCTGCCCATGGCCTGCAGCTGACACGCCCTGTGTTCCAATATTTTCGTTGTCGCATGATGTGGTAGATAACGCAGATGCTGATCTTGCAGACGCTGTCGTCGAACATCTGCGGGCACTGAGTACTGGCGCGCAGCACGGACAGCACCCTCGTCAGCACACTTCTTTCGTTCCCACAGCGGTCGTTGATCTTCATCAATGTCTGCTGCGCTCCGATGTGCCTTGATCTTTTACATGCGAGAGGTGTCGGCGCCTTGTTCAACAGCTACGGTTTGGATCGACGCCCGCGTGCCTTGGTGTTGCTTCGGTGCAGTCGCATCTCCGCGTAATAGTGCGTTGAACTGGCGCGCGCAATAGTTGTTGTCTGTCGAGTCTGCTTACACCAAGCCCATGCGACAAAATGGCGTAATGCTGCTACTTCTGTTCGTTAGGCCCCCCCGAGATACGCTTCGCAAGGTATGTCCACGTTGCAGCTGCGATTTCGCTAAATGCAAGCGGTATCCCGATCGCCGCAAACGTAAACTGGGTGAGTGCCCAGGACAAGACCCGTCTCCAGCAACCACTAGGTAGCCATCTCTCCTGAGTAATACCTTCTCTTCTCGTCCGCCGACCTCGCAGTCTCCATCGTCGCGACGCGGCGGCGGTGGTAGATCCGGTTTGCCAGGCAGCAGCTCAGAGAAGGAAGCATCATATCCAGGCATATCTGGTAGTAGACCATACTTGCGCGAGCACGCCGGTGGTTGGAGGAGAGCTTCAACCTGCAATGTTCAAGTAGAGGCGCCCGCTGCGATACCCAATGCTGGCATTCATACAGCATGTGACCCGTGGACTCGCCAGGGCCTTCGCAGAAAGGACAATATTTATGTGTATAGTTTCCTGTCAAGTGTCGCGGGCGATGTCCATTGGCTGTAGCCCCCTGGAAAAAAGGCCCGAAAGAAGGGCGCCTGCTCCCTGGAGACCTTCGGGATCGCCGCGTCCGTTTCATTGGGTGGAAGAGGGGGCTGGGCCTTGGGCTCTTCGGCTGCATCCTCATCATCAGGCATTGCTGCGTGTCCTGCTCGTGGCAGGATGCCTGTTGTGATGTGGTAGTTGATGCCCGCGCTGGCCCCCCTGCACGCCCTTCCGTTCGAGTTAGCGCACGTCTGCGCGCCAAGCCCACCGTCTGATATCCTCTTGTAAGTGATGTTCCCACCAGCCCTGATGATGACGATGGAGGTAGACTTGCCGGCTACAGGCACGCTTGAAATAGTCAAAGTCAGGCCAAGACCAGCCGCGATCATTCAGGACAGGCGTGTCATCGGCCCACCATCATTCGGCTTGATCGTGCGTAATTCGCGTCCTCGTCGTGCTTCCTTATGCGCTTATGTATCAGCTGCCAGCGCCGCTTCGCCTTCGCTAGTGCCCGAGCTGCGAAGGGTCTGGTGAAGATACGCCTTGCCACAATCAACGGTTGCGCAGTCGCGATTTGAGTAGGATCAAGACTTCGTCCTTTCGTGATCACGGTGAGCGCGAAGGCAGGCGAGCGGCATGTCCTCCCCTTCGCCTGTAGAGCTCCAGTGATCTGCGTCTGGCGAGCATGCGAAACTAAAGTCCTGGCGCGTGCCTGGAAAGTGCAGCCGGCGCAATTAGCCGCCGTTTGCTTCTGAGTCCGACAGGGGCTCCAGCAGAGCGCTCGGCAACGCGACGCGCGGATGCGCGCCGAATGCGTTTCTGTTTGGCAGGGCAGTTCCCGATCGAGACCACCTCGCCACCGCCTCGGTGCCACGGAGACTGTCAAACTCGAGAGAGAGAGAGAGAGAGAGAGAGAGAAAAAGAAAAAAAAAAAAAAAAGAAAGAAAGAAAGAGAGAGAAAGAGAGAGAGAGAGAGAGAGAGAGAGAGAGAGTTGGATGACGTTCGCAATCCCTGGGCCGTGGCCATCCCTGTCTGCGCGGAAGTTGCCGTCGTGAATGAAGCGTTTGATGTTTGGTTCATTTTCTTTTTCATTTACTGTAGAATGACCAGATCGCCATCACAGCCAACGCCCGTTGCAATGACCAATTGTCACTTGCGCATGCCCGTTGCCACGTTTCTTCTCGCCGCCCTCTGCCTGTGCCACTTCCCATCGCGTCGTCAGGGCCGCGTAGAAAGTCCGCGGCGCTCGAAGTGAACCGGCGGGGCAGCCAGGCGCTTCCATCAAGTTGTCCCCAAAACAATATGTCTGTCCGCGGTGCATTTTGACATTGGCGTGCGCGTAAGATTTGATAGTTCGACTTACAAATTGAGGCCCCTTCCAATCGTTTGGCAGCGGCATCCTTGAGACACCTGCCGCGCCAGGATGCAACCGAGACTCTCGCCGAGCTGTCATTTGCTGAAACCTGTCGCCTGTCAAAGCGGCGAACGTCGGATTCAAGTTTGTTGTCCGTCTTGTCATGTCGTCCGTAACCAACCATACTTCATCGGGCTCAAGTCCGCCACAGTGTTCTTCTTCGGGATCCTTCTTCGGAAGGCGCGATGCGATTCCTATAGTCACGCGGCCAAGAAACTCGTGATTGACACAGGGGAGCTTGTCCAGGAGGCCAGCAGAATGTCGCTGCTGTATGATCGCCTCCTTGCACGCCGACTAGCTGAACACAGCTACAAGCTAAACCCTAGCAACAACGAGACAGCGCTTGCTCTCTTCGGGGTCAACGCTCAGAGATGCCGAAAACAAATGAAAGAAGGACTCGCCCACCTCGCTGGCGTTCCCAATGATGAGGCGAAATATCTTAGAGGCATGATCAGGGGGTGCGGCACCTTTAACCCCGAGGTTGAGCGAAGACTTCGTGCCATCGGCGTCGGGTACAACATCATGGGGCGGTTATGGTACCAGTCTCGGGTCCCTTATGTGGAACGCAGGGCGATATTCCTGAGCAGGGTCCCCGGGTCGGCGCTGTCTGGGGTGGAAGTCTTCCTGCCAACCCAGGAACACCTGAAGAAGTTGCAGAGTAGGGTGCTGATGTACGCGCGTCGGGCCATGAGAGGACTAGCTGCAACTGAAGGGCACGGGCACAAGGTCTCCGCTAGCAACGAAGAGGTCCTCAGGTACTGGAAGATTGCCCCCCTAGAAGTCGAACTCAAAGCGAGTCGCACTAAGTGGCATCAGCGGTGGGTACAACGGCCTGGTCAGCACCTCGCTGAATGGATTGCGCTCTTCGGTGCGATGAGGACCGAGCAGGACAGGGGCATTCAGATTGTAGGTGAGGGCGCACGACTGACCCAGCACGCGTGTCCGTGGGCAAGAAGGGTGGTTGATGGCATAAATTCGTTGGCAAATTTAGGGGATGACGAATGTGAGCACATTGCGGACTCCGATGACAGCCCCATGCAATTGTTCCAGGACCTCACGTTGGTAAAGTGGTTTCCGCAGTCCGATCCCAAGAAGCTTGGGGCCCATTGGCTGAGTGCTACTATTCCGCCCCTTGAGTTTCGACCCCCAGCAGATATGCAAGCGCCTCCCCCTGAAGGGCCAGTACCACAACTCGAGTGTCCTGTCCCAGAGTGCCCCCGCAGGTTCCACACCAACAGGCAGCTCCTAGTCCACATGCGCAACCATCACGCGTTTAAGTCCCTCCTGGCCCTCACTGTGAACACTAACGTGTGCTTCGTCTGCGAGAGCATCTTCGAGAATAGGAACTCGACATACAAACGCCTGGTTGGCTCCTTCGAAAACGGGGCTGTGTGTGACAAACAAAAGTACGACGTTCCGAGAGGCCCGGCAGCCTGATGATTTACGATGTCCGTTATGTTCGACCCAAGCATGCACCGCTGCCTCGCTCCGAGTGCATCTTCATACTCACTTTAAGTACCTCCCATCACTTGGCGATGGCGGCCGCGTCGTCGGCAGCGGGGTCGCAGCCCGCGTCGCAGCCAGGGCCGCCAGCGGCCCCCTCTTGGATGCTAGTGGGCACCAGGCGCAAGGCAGGCGACAGCGGGGTGGACGCGGCACCAGCTGCCAAGCAGGGCAGGCTGAAGGACCAGGTCGAGAAGCAGAGCAGCGGCAGCAGGGACAACTCCAGGACATTGATGGGCATCCTCACCAAACTCAGCCTGGCCAGCGCGCGCGAACTCGCAGATCCGACAGGCGCGTGCTTCACATGCCACCTGCTCCCAGCAAGCGCCCAGCTGATTGCGGACGCGCAGACGGCGGGGAAGACCTACGCCAAGGGCTGCAAGGACAGGGGAAAAGATCATGGCAACGGCCCCCCGTGGCCGCATGTGTTCCTGGCGCCCCTCCAACACTTCACCACGCTGGAGACGCTGGACCAGATCACCAAGAAGGCGATCCACTCGTACTGGGGCTACGTGGTCAGCCTCAACAAGGAAGACGCGATGATCCACCTGCAGGAGCAGATCCGCTACCTGCGGGTCAAGGCGTGCTGGTGCGACCGCAAGAGCCAGCAGAAGGCCACGAGTCTCAAGCTCCAACTCATGATGAGCCCCACCGCGCGGTCGAGCTGCGTCAAGGACATGAACACCCAGGAGAGCAGCATCCCACTCCACCAGGCGGTGCGCGCGGCCATCCGCAGCCAGGCAGGAGAGTACCGCGCGGGAGGAGCCTCTCGCGGGGCGCTTGAGCGAGAGGCAGAGAGGCTCATGCGCAAGTTAGGCCTCCAGGACGGCAGGAGCCAGAAGGAGAAGGGGCTGGACAGGACGGACACAGAAGACGAGTTCTAAATCTCCCCCCGCTCGGGCTGAGCGCTGTGCGAGGCTCTGAGCGCATGACAGAGATGATCAGGAATGGCCAAGTTTCAGGTGCACAGCTGGAACGATTGCAAGCGCAGCATGCACACCCAGTCCTCACCTACACGCACGGCATGCGCAGTATGCACGTGCATCAAATAGCAGATAGCGAACCACCGCTCACCATTGGCATGCCAGAGTTGCAGAGAAGGTGTGCAATGGTTCAGAGGGTGGAAGCGAATGCCCAGACAGTCCCTCTCCAGCCGACGCCTCGATCCTCCAGTCGTTTCCTCCACCCCAACCCCAGTTCGAATTGTTGAGCACATGTCGGGCGTGTGTCCACACGGGGCTGGTGCTCCGGTACGGGGTTGGTGCATGAATCCAGAGGATCGCTTGTAGGCGTGAATTGCATGTGAGATAGTGTTGCGAACTAGCTCACTTCTACTATATTTGTCCTCTCTCGTTCTTTTCTTTGTCCCCACCTCTACAGGAAGGGTGGTGCCGCAGGTGGGCAGCTCGGCGTTCCCTTTCGCTGTCCCACCGTCGGCCAGAGAGGGCACCTTCCTTCCAGCGGTGCTCGCAGGAAGGCGCAGGGTGCGCAGCCTAGAGCCAGGTGCAGATGCAGCAGTAGCACAGACATCATGGCTCGCAATGGTGTTGTCTTGTCTTGTCCTCGTCCTCCTCCTCCTCGCCCTCCTCCTCCTCTTCCTCCTCCTCTCCCTCTTCCTTCCTCCTTCGCTTCAGCCAGGCTCGGAGCTGGTGCACAGGGTCTCGGGGACGCACGAGCACAGGTCGGCACGAAGCCGGGTCGGCCAGGGACCCCGTCGCAGAGCCTGGCCCGCAGACGGCCTTCTCAGAAGGCGGCGGGACTTGACAGAAACCCTCGCCCCTTCCGAGAGGTGTTTTTGTTGTTGTGTCGTCGGGGGAGGTTTCGAAGACTTCTCTCAGAAGGCTTGGGGAACTGCCGAGCTTTCTGAGGAGGCCCGCCCCCTCTGACTTCCCCCCCGGGCGCGCCGCCGACTTGTGCTGCATCTTTCGAATTGCATCGATACGTCATGCCCCAGAGATCCAACGTTTTGACACAATCAAGGCGGAGGTTTCTCGCCGTTGGCAGTAATTCGCCGTAGGTCTAGCAGATCATGTAGTGATGGTCTCAGCATTCTCCTCTTCTGATGGTATACGGACCACCCTCTCAGCTGGCTGGATCATCGAGCCCGACTTTGCTGTATGGGGTTTTCCGGTAAGCAGATCTGTGCGTACCCGAACTTGGGAGGGCATGGGGACCCGCCGACCGCGACGACGCACGACGACAGCACGTCGCGCCCCTTGTGCCGATAGACTATTAAACAATACGCAGCTGTGGAAATACAGTTCCAGCCGCAGCAAAAATAAGCGGCACGGGGTCTGGCCCAGCTTATGCGGGTATGTCAGACAAATCGGATTGCCATGTGGGCTTTTTCTTGTTCCCCCCCAGGGTGACGCTCGTTCCCCAGGCCCCCCCCCCCCCCAATCCCCTTTTGGGTAACGCTAACGATCGTACTGGGGGTCGTTGCCTGGCCCCCCCTCTCATGCGCTGTGGTGTGGACGCGCGATTGGTGCGCGGGTGGCGCGTTCGCACCGTGGCAGGTGCACGCCGCGGCCGCTGTTAGCGTTACCCTCCCGTCCGCCGCCCCCCCCTCCCCCGGGTAACGACCGTTAAATACCCGGGAAAGAAACAAAGGAGGAGGAGGAGGAGTAGAAGGGGGAGGAGGAATTGAAGAGGAGGAGGAGGAGGAAAAGGAGGAGGAGGAGGAGGTCGGCACACTGTTCGAGTGCTCGCACCCTCTCATCCTTGCAGCCCCTTGGACCAGGTCGAAGCCCAACAGGGGCGAAACTGCAGGCCGTATAGCGCTCGAGAGAGCGTCCCTCGCAGAGAGGAGGCTCGTGGAGCCTAGCTGGAGGTGTCCAGGCACGGGCGTCAGAGGATGGGTCGATACCGCTGCGTCGCAGTCGGTTGCGTCCGATCGGGTCGGTTCCGTCGGTTGGTCTGTCGTCGTTGCGTCGCTGCGCTCCGTTCGGCTGTGAGCGGTTTGTCAGCTTCGGTCGGGAATTGTTATGTGTGTCCGTCGCGGTGGACGGTCGTGTGTCCAGAGGCTTGGCGATCATATATGGCTGAGTTTTCGGCTCGAATCTGTATGCTGAGTTCCACCGTCAGTGCGTCCTGGGTTGTGTGTGAACGTTTTGGGGCATCTGAGGTCTGGATGTTCTCGGGAGCTTCTGAAGCTGTCCGCGGGCATTTGGAAGTGATCGTCGCTCTGGCTGCTTGACGTTCGGTCGTTAGCGGCGATCTTTCCACGGGGAGAGAGAGAGAGAGAGAAAGACAGATAGAGGGAGTGAGAGAGAAAGTGAGAGAGAGGGATGGAAGAGAGAGGGAGGGAAAGAGGGACCGAAAGAGGGAAAGAGAGAGAGAGAGAGACAAGACAAACAACAGAGCAGATATGGAATCATACAAATGAAGAAAGAGATAGAGAGAGAGAGAAACAACAAACAAAAAGAAAACAGACAACCAAGCAAACATAGAGAGAGAGAGAGAGAGACACAGAGAGGGAAGGAAAGTGAGAGAGCGCGAGACAGGGACGGAAAGGAGGATGGCTCATCTGTCTGTCCGCAGTATGGCTCCCTGAGGTCTGCACCGCTTCCTGGAGACCAGCGTCTCTTCCTCCCGAGCTGCTATCCCCTGGGGCCCCGCGAGGGCCCCCGGACGCCGGACGGGGCCAGAGGCCTCCCGCCGTGCTTTTATGTTGCCACTGCGCGTTCGAGGCGGTCCGCTCTCGGGCCAGAGCCCGGGTCTCCGCCGGCCGTTCGGCACAACGCGGGCACCCCCGAGATCGGGGGCAACAATTGATGGGAGGAGGGGCAGAGGAGGCCTCCTCGGGGGAACGAAGCATGACACAAACTCAGAAACTCGGAGGTCCGCGCGGATTTCTCGGATCGGCGCTGGGGCCCCCCCCAGCGGCGTCTCCAGCGCCGCCCGTGGCGCGCTCCGCGCGCCACGGAATGGACCCGGCGAGGATCCGAGAAATCTGCGCGGACTTCCGAGTTTTTACGTTTATGCCATTCTTCGTTCCCCTGCTTCTCCTTCTCATCTCCCCCCCTCGCTCGCCGCCAATTCATGGAGAGAGTTATGATGTTCCAACCTACTTTAGCCTTGATCACCAGACAAAATTTCGAGCACCAAGAAAGTACCGAAACTGGAGGGTTTTCCCGCGTCGGGCCCTGGGAGGCGATACTCGTTCGACACTGATTCGATCGTTTTCTGGGTGCTCGAAATTATGCTTGGGATGTGGCCCTCAAGTACGATGGGAGCAGCACGAGGAGAGGGAGAGGACCTGTCGAACATCAGTTGCCTGGCCAACGAGGCCCGCGGCCCGACGGGCACGGAGAGCCTCGAGGCCGGCGGTCCCGCCGCCCGCGCTGGCTCCCTTTCCTCCCCTCCCCCCTTTGGGTTAAGTTGGATTAAGTCCCTCTACAGGAGGAATCTACAAAAATTCGCAACACAAGTAGTCGGAGAAGGATGTTTGTCTCTATTTGGGTAGCTCTGAATATGTTTTGGCTATGTTTCAAGTTTCCTTCCGAAATCCGTCTGTAGGAGGACATGCACCACCTGACCATTGGGACACGGGAGCAGGGCGATGTCTCCTCCCCTCTCCGTTCCATTCCGTAGCGGCTTGGAGCGTGCCCGTCTGTTCAGAGGAGAAAAAGGCACCGATGCCGCTACCCTTCCCTCGTTTTCCCTGTTTGGGGCCTCTTGTGAGGCCCTCGTCGCCACCGCTGGATTCGCCTCGAGACTTTGATCAGAACGCACCCAGGGAGAGGTCCAGGGAGTAGCGGCATCGATATTTGTTGGTTTCCCCATCTGTGGGGGAAATCGGACATGGTAGCAGACAGGACCCCTGCGGAGGCGCCTCAATCATGGCTTCTCTCTCGAAGGGGGAAGAGCAGTGGGGGGACGTGCGGCTCAAGCCAGCTTCATAAGCCTCCCTGGTCAGAGGACCAACCAATCAACACGCCAGGGCGCCCGCATGATCTGGTCACTGTCCCTTCCTTGCACGGCCTCTGGTGGCCTCTGCGACTCCTCCTCCTCCCTCCTCTTTTGATGCCTGATACCCTCGCGTCGTGAAAAAACACGCCAGTGTTATTCTTGTAATTTCTGGCCTATGGAGGTCCTCACTGGGCCCCAGGGCCGTCAAGAAGCGGCTCGAGATGAAAAGCTGGCCCCAGGGAGCAGGTCGAGCCATCTGGGGGCTTACGCTTTGACGAGAATGAAGGCGTCGGACGTCTGGGGTTCCGGAAAAAAATGCCCCTCGTTCTTTACCCCTCCCTGGGGCTTTTCGTACGAGGCGGGGATTTGTCCATGCCTATCGGCTGGGGAAACGAGTACCAGGGAATGGGTCGAGATTTCTGCGGGTCCACGTTGTGAAACAACACTGCGTCTAGGGTACGGCTCTCTTATCATCCCTCTTCCCTCCTCCCCTCGCGGTCATTCGGGCTCAGGTTTCGGCTCGAGTGGCTGCTTGATTCCGAGAAACTCAGCGTACACACGATGAACACCTCTAGGTCGCCATCTGGCGCACACGCGCCACCCACCAGTGCCGTAGCCGTTTCGGCCAAGAGGGGGCTAGAGCCACAATGGCAATTGAGAGGCGGAAGAAGGGGAGCAAGAGGAAGGCAGATGCGATTCGTAGGGCGCAACGCTTAGGCAATATGGGGGGGAGGAGGAGGAGGAGGAGGAGGAGGAGGAGGAGGAGGAGGAGGAGGAGGAGGAGGAGGAGGAAATGGTGGAGAGGCACAGGGGATAATGAGCATGACGTTTCTGGGATCCCTCTGCCCACCGCCCGTGAACAGGTGTTTCCCCGACCGGTTTCTAGAATACCTTCCGGTTGCTCTTCGCTTGCGAAGAGCCTCCCCTTGGCAACGCGCTATTCGAGGGGTCGGTGGGGCTGTTCTGTCGCCGATGACATTTTTTCTTGCAGTGGGTCCAGGTGAGCCGTCGATGTCCTGGAGACGCAGTGGTCTCATATGGATTGGGTCGAAACAGTGCTCCCCAACAACGGAGAGCTATGTTGCGAGACCGTACATAACTAGCACAGCAGAGTCCCACATAAAGACATTCCCGTCCAGACAGCTCATGTTGCGCTAAGGCGTGAAGCCTATGTTGATGAAGGGTCACACGGCAACGCAACATCAATGTGTTGCAAGTGGACTGCCCAGAAACCCTTGGGAATCTCAGGGTCACTCGCGGCGCCAGGAACGCAGCCGAGCCGTTTGATAGAGCACACACCATTTTCGGCCATGCAGGATCCGTCCAAGCAAATGGGCCATTCCCCGTCCTTCTTTTCCCCTGTCCTTCCTCCTTGATCCAGCCCATCGGAAGCCCCTCCTTGACAACCAAACGCAATAAGCCGTGGGCGCTCTGGGGAACGCACTTCAGCGTGGGCACGGGCATCTGTTCGAACAGGGCGGCGACATTTTCCTCGACGTACCTCTCAGACTTGGCCTTTCGACGCGAAGGGCCGCGCCATCCGAACCATGAAGGCGCCCCTACCACAACTGACGGGCGTGCGCAGTCGCACGCGGTCGCACGCCGATGCAGCGCAACTGGAACGACGCAGACAAGCCAGGCCCACTGACTCCCCCCCATGCCCAGGGAGGCACAACATGGGACTGAGAACTGCCACGAGAAAGCTGGAACTGACTACTGGAAAATACGCATGTTTATGTTGATAGTTGTTTCTTCTCTCGGGGAGTAGGCTTCAGTCGAGCATGTCCCTCTACAGGAGGAATATCCAAACATAGTCAACGCACAGTTTTGGGACGACTTTAAGACTATGTTTGGACATTGCTCGATTTGTTTGGGATATTTTTGTATTCTTCGTCCAGAATCCGCATGCCCGACCTAAGCGTAGGCCTGGTCGACGAGCGACCCACCACACGCCAGGGTCTCGCGCGCCCGCGGTGTCAGCCGGCGGCGCCCTGGGAGGCTACCCAGCACCGTCGGGCGTGCCTCCGCCGCCTGGGCGGCCCGCGCTCTGCTCCACGCCCGGGCGGGGCGCCCATCGCCAGCCCTCCGCGCGCGGTGGCGGCGGGCGTTCGCTCTGCCGGTGGGCCAAGCTCTCGTCCTTCGCCCAGTCTTACCGCCGTCTCCGCCGCCGCCTCCGCCTCCGCCTTCGCCTCCTCCTCCTCCTCGATGAAGGCTCGAGGACCCAGGTGTCTCACCCACCACGTCAATGAGGTCAGAAGCCGTGCCATGACGGCACATCGGCAGCAGTGCTACAAGTCAAAGAAAAAACACAAGATTGCCGAGCACCAGTCTTCCACTTATCGAGGCAGCCGCTGTCTCTGTCCAGGATGCCAGACACGCAATCTTCGTTGTCCTCCTCGCGAACTTGCGCGCACGCAGTCTGGCCTTGTGCCTCCAAGAAGCTCTTTGGTGCCATCACGTTCGCGCGCCGCCTGGCCGGACCAGCTGCGTTGACGAATGTTGGAGCATGGATCTGCGAACCATGTTGGTGTCTGGCCTTCTCGCCTCTGCACCAGGTCATCGGATCGGCTCTCGACGACGTCGTGCAGAGCATGGTGCAGCAACTGGGCGGCCTCGAAGAGGCCGCGCGACTGACGGCCTGCCTCAGCGTGCCTGCCCGGGGGCCGCGGTGGAGCAGCGGGCAGCTCTGCGCCGCTGGCTCCGGGAGGCCTCCTCGACTGGGGCGCGAGACGACCAAGCGGATCTGCGTCGGCCGCCTGCTGCACGTTGCGGCCAGTAATCTAGGCCTCCTAGATGTGGTCCGAGTAGATGGGGTCGGTGGATGGCGCCGCATCGCCAGTGCATCGCCGATGCGGCTCGATGTAGAGCCCGACTTGCTTCATGTCGACGTCGCCAATGCATCGCCGACGTCGACGATGCATCGCCAGTGAATCGCCGATGCATCGCCGATGTATCGGCGATGAGGCGCGATCCTCCGACCCCATCTACTCGGACCCCACGTGTGAGGTCTCTAAGAAAGCCATGCGGGCGCCAAGCGACCCCCATGCTCAAGGCCTGGCGAGAAGAGTTCTGGGCAGCCACAGCAGCCTCCAGTGGCGCCGGCAAGGAGGCTCAATGCGATGGCGCCAAGAGCGGTCGTCCATGCGTGGCGGCATCACCCCCAGGCAAGAAGGGATGCGAGGAGGAGGAGGAGGAGGAACGGGAGGGGGAGGAGGAGGAGGAGGAGGAGGAGGAGGAGGAGGAGGCATCGGGGGGAGCCATTGGGGGCGCAGTTCGAGGCTTCGAAGATCCAGTGATACAACGTCTCGGAGGTCCGCGCGGACTTCTCGGATCGGCGCTGGACACCCTTCTCCCCTGGCGCTCGGAGCGCGCCAAGGGGGCGGCGCCGCAGGCGTCGCCAAGGAAACTCCATCGGCGCCTATGCGAGACCTCCGCATGATTCTGTTTATGGCACTGCTCGCTCCCCGGATGCGGGTCGAAGTTCCCGGGGCTAACCAGTCTGGAACTGATCCTTTTCCCTAAGATGGGCAAGCCAAAAGCGATGACATTCTTAGGGATAGGCCCTCAGAAACTGATGGAATCCTGAAGATCGGTATTGAGGCAAGGTGATGCCAAACATAGGGATTAGGAGATGTTTCAAACTGGTGAGGGGCCTCCCGCGCGGGGTCCCACGAGCTTGTCGTCCCGGTCGGCCTCACGCGGTGAGCGTCGGCCGCTCCGCTGGGCCCGCATTCGTGCAGCGGGCTGGCTCGGAGGGGCCGGGAAGGCGTCGGTGCCTCGAGCCCGGCGCGCACGCAGCGACGGAGCGTCTCCTCGTCGGGCCAAGGCCTCTGCGCAGAGGCGGCGTCGTGGAAGAAGGGCGTCGTATGCACTCGTCTGGGCCTCCCAGGTGGGGTCCGATTAGACAGGTCGGAGGATCGCGCCGCACCGCCAGTGCATCGCCAGTGCGGCTCGATGTGGAGCCCGATTGTCTCCACGCGGGCGTCGCCGCTGCATCGTCGATGCAGCGGCGATGTGGCGCGATCCTCCGACCCCATTTACTCGGACCCCATCTGGGAGGCCTCTAACTCATACGCGGTTCTTGCGCGTGCAGAATTGCCTTACGGCGCAACCGGGTGGTGTCACGAAAATGTTTCACACGCGTGGGAAGCCCCGATGTCACCGCCCAGCTTCGAAGGGCCGGTTTTGTGTAATGTGTTTGTTGTCGTGTGCGATTATTTGGTTGTCTCCTGAGGGTGGCGATGCCTTGGCTCGATATCTCCCTTTCAAGAGGGCTGGTGTTGGGCGGCCTGATGGCGCTTCCAAGTCCCTCCATCTCTGTTCCACCTCACGCCATCTCTGTTCCATCTCACCTCCCTCTCCTCCTCCGCCGAGGCATCACGATCAGAATAGATTTCGCGCGCAGACTTC